GGCACTATAGGTCAGCCGATTGGGACGGGATGCGGTCTTTTTTTGCATCCTACCCTTGGGGGCTTGGGGGGTTTGTTTCGCGCCGGATGATCAAAACGTTGTTGCTGATTCTATCACTGATGTGGTACTTCAGGGAATGGAATTATTTATTCCATCATCTGTGGTGCCTATCGGAGGCAGAAATCAGCCATGGTTTGGTCACTCCTGCAAAATTGCATCACGCTATAAGCAGGAGTGCTACCGAACCTGGGCCGACACATCAACTTCCCGGGATGTAAATACCAGTGCTCTTAGAAAGAAGTATAATTCCGTCTCCAGGTCCTTCAAAAGTGTCATTGCCAAGGCAAAGTCAGAGCACATCGGCAGAATTGGCGAGAAACTAGTTCGCTTCCCTTCGGGAACACGTGCATTCTGGTCTCTCGCCAAGGCTGTCCAAGGGAACTTCTGTCAGCCATCTCTGCCATCTCTGCACAGGGCGGACGACTCACTGGCCCATGACGCAAAAGAAAAAGCCGATCTGCTAGGCTCTCTTTTTGCTTCCAACTCGACTCTAGATGACAAGGGGAACACACCGCCGACCATCCCGCGGTGTGAGTGCTCCATGCAGGAAGTGCTGTTTACACAGCGCTCGGTGCGTAAAGCACTCCTCTCCCTGGACGTCAACAAGTCGAGTGGGCCTGATGGAGTCCCATCTATTGTGCTGAAGACGTGTGCTCCGGAGTTGGCACCGGTTTTAACGCGTCTTTTCCCGTACTCCTATTCCATTGGCGTAGTCCCGAACTCATGGAAGACAGCTTTGGTGCAGCGTCCAACTACAGGCCTATTGCTATCACCTCCTTGTTTTCCAAAGTAATGGAAACCGTTATTAACAGCCAGCTCACGGGGTACCTTGAGGATCACCAGCTGATTAGTGACCGCCAGTACAGTTTCCGTCGAGGTCGCTCAGCTGGTGATCTTTAAGGTTACCTAACTCATAGATGGGCGGAGGCAGTGGAGTCCAAGGGGGAGGCGTTGGCCTTTAGTTTGGACATAGCGAAGGCCTTCGATCGGGTTTGGCACAAAGCGCTTCTTTCGAAGCTCCCTTCCTATGGGCTTCCCGAGAAATTGTGCAATTGGATCACCAGTTTTCTTGCAGATCGGAGCATCAAGGTCGTAGTAGACGGTGCATGCTCCGACTACAAGTCCATTAATGCTGGTGTTCCACAAGGCTGCGTGCTATCACCAACGCTGTTTCTTCTGTAATTCAATGATATGTTGCAAACCAGTAACATTCATTGCTATGCGGAGGACAGCACTGGTGATGCTTTATACACCGGCCGTGCCAATATTTCTCGGGAAAACGTCTGAAGTCGAGACTTTGTTGAACAAAGTTTAGACTGGGGTCGACTAAATTTAGTCCAGTTCAATCCCCAGAAGACACAAGTTTGCGCGTTTACTGCTAAGAATTACCCCTTTGTCGTATCTCCTCAGTTTCAAGGCACTCCCCTTGTTGCCTCAGCCAGTATCGGGATCCTTGGTGTCGACATATCGAGTGACGTGCAGTTTCGTGGTCACTTGGAAGAGAAGGCCAAATTGGCCTCCAAAAAGCTTGGCGTGCTCAGCAGAGCGGGACAGTATTTCATGCCGGCACACCACTTGCAACTTTACAAGGCGCAGGTTCGGCCTCACATGAAATACTGTTCCCATCTCTGGGCAGGGGCTCCCCAGTGCCAGCTACTTCCACTTGACCGCATCCAGCGCAGATCGGTTCGAATCGTCGACGACCGAGTTCTTTCCGATCGGCTTGACTCATTGGCACTGCGTAGAGATGTTGCATCTCTTTGCGTATTTTATCGCTTCTATCACGGGGAGTGCTCTGAGGGATTGTTCGGACTAATTCCAGCCGCCCAATTTCACCATCACACATCGCGACAAATCTCGCGATACCATCCATATCATCTATATGATTGGCGGTCCACCACTGTGCGATTTAGAAGAAGTTTTCTTCCTCGCACAACTTCCTTATGGAGTCGATTACCATCAGCGATTTTTCCGGACCGATACGACTTAGGGACCTTCAAGAAAAGAGCCTACTCCTTTTCAAAAGGCCGGCAACGCCTCTGCAATTCCCCTGGTGTTGCAGTTGTTCATGGGCGGCGGTAGTCACTTACGATCAGGTGAGCCGCATGCTCGTTTGCCCACTCTCCTAAACAAAAAAAAAGTTGTTCAGCAATGGCCTCAATTCGATCTGTTATCGTGTTCCGTGATAAACCTAAAGATCGAAACTATTTACGTTTTTCTGTACAATATTTTTTTAAAACATTACCCCCACACTAGGATTTTCTCCTGTATCGTGGAGGCAGTTTACAAACACAAATTGAACAAGGGCAAACATCCAGACCCGGAACAATTATTTGTAGGCCATACAAACACAATGTTGCAATTTTGCATACAGCCACCGTGCAATCTTTTACAAATTCACCATCCGTACAATAATTCATCCGATAACGTTCTGTTACTTCTAGCAATTTTAAGCTACAACATAACTTGCCAGTATTGCAGCCTTCTGAGTATCAGATTGCTTCGTGAACATGCTCTGTAGTCCACGTAAGTGTACGTAAAGTGGTAACGTCATTACCTTGCGGATTTCAAAATGTCACCGTTTGTTACCGATGTCAGTTAAACCCAAATTTTCGGAGGGAAACGATGGATATTCATAAGAAAAAGGTCTGTGCTGTAATTTTGATTACAATTTTGTGTAAAAAACGTATAAGAAGGTGCTGAGTAAAAGACTGGCTTTTTAAAAAGGGATTTCTATACCCATATTAACTTATTGACTGACAAACGGGTTTCGAAAGAGGATCAAGACTGTGCAAATTATTTTCGCATGAAAGAGGCTTGTTTTGATAAGTTACTGGTATTGGTAACACCATATCTAAAAAAACAAGATACTTGTATGCGAAATGCTATAACTCCCGAAGAAAAGCTAGGAGCAAGTTTTTCGTGTCCTACAACTCGGGGAGAGCCTCAAAATTTAAAATAAAATCTTTTCTGGCTGAAGCACGTTTGGCGGGAGTGGCGACGATTTCATGCAACCGTCAATCACCGCATAACACGGTAGGTTGTTCGTCAATCACAACTGTGATTGATGTAAAATTGACAGCAAAACCTACTGTGTAATGGTCGCATAAGAATATACAGCGTACGAACATGCGCTTTGAAGTAAGAGTATTAGTCCGACTGACCGCAGCGGTGCGGCTGTGGTGCGTCGTCGGAGTGGACACATGCAGCCGTTGGAGGGCGCGCGGGAGGGGTGTCCGACGGTCGGACCGTACCGGTGCGCGCAGTCGATAGTTTCATTTTCAGTTTTCGCTCATACTGCCCGCGCCCGCAGAACAATTGATTCAATCACGTTAATTATAAAACAATCACGTTAATTATTTTAAGCGAGCCGCGCCCTGTCAGTGAAAATAAAATTTTTAACAATATGAAAACTTCAATTGATTTTTGTTTGATGGTCGCGGGACGGAGATGGCCCGCGGGCCGTAGTTTCCCCATCCCTGGTCTAGTGTAAATAGATGTGAAGAGCTAAATATGGTTTCATAGATATTATTATAGTCTATTGTCCCAGAGTAAATATAATCCCTTATTGTCCTCCTCAATCTCGTTCAAGTCCTATAATATACCGAATTCTTTATAAAGTCATTCTGTTCAGGTAAATTAATCAATAGCATGTAGAAATCGGAAAACAAATCCTATGTTATGTGTACAGCATAGTAAAATATGAGCTGCGTAAATTTTTATGACTTAATTTGATTGTTTCAGAATTAATTAAAAATGCCAGTCATGTCAAACTTTTATAAAGTTGGAAAAAAAATTTATAATACTTCTTAGATTTTTACAAATAAAACCGTTTAAGTACATAATTGCAAGCAAGGTTAAGTTTGCATTGGGCGAACAAAGAAAGAGGATAACTCTTAAATAATAATTTATTCATAAGAAATAATTCACTTAATGAAGTCATACATTAAAAATAAGTAAACAATTATATTATAACGTAACATGCAAATTTGCTATGACACAAAAATAATCAATAACAGATTATAAAGTATTATACACTTATATACAATAGAAATTTCTTTGCTTTTTTCTTTGTTATCAACCCGAAACAATCCATCACCAGAATCCTTTCAAGGTTCAACCTGTCAAACGAGCACTCAGTCCACCTGATGGTAAGTGAATGCTGAGGCCTATAGACGTTTATGGATGATAAAGAAACAAAATGTAGATGCGTTGTCACCCCTGAGGACTACTATGGAATGCCACGTTTCCAGTAAAAAGTGTCTCTGGTTCGCTACACTCACCATACGCAACACAGCAGCATTAAGCTGCTATTTTAGACTGGTATTCTGTAAGAGCGTGGGTCTTGTTTCGGTCGACCCATTCATGCTATAGTCATAATATAGCTGCAGCATTGTTATACCTTCTTAGAAAGGGGAGACCAAATCAATAAATTTACAAAATGGGATGATAGATTCTCCAAGTCACATGGCGTGGAATTAATTAATTAAAATTGTTCTATCTTACGGATATTTTATATTTGAAAAACTTTTTCTTATAACACGTTATATATATAATACTAAGATAGACTTAAAGTTAATAGATTCTATTTACAAAACACTTATAAAGTATACTCAAAAACTGAACACATCAGTTTGTTTCGAATCAGTTTTAAAATTCTTATCTAATAACTTTTCTTTATAGTAAAAATTATATTTGTATAACATGACTACTCCAAAACACTGCTGTTTTACCACTTTTTAAATTTTGAGTACTTTTCGATGACCTTGGAATTTTGCTTATAGCTCAGAATCGGATGACCATGTAGCTATATGAAAAACACGTGGTGTATTATTTCGTTTTAGTACAAATTTTAAAAAGATATCACTTGTTCTTTTACGATATCACTGAATAATTTCCAGTTACATACACTCAATACTATTTTATATTCAGTCAGTTATTTAAGCTTCTTCGGCCTTGATTTCTTCACCTTGCTTTTTATTCCTGTATTCCCAACCCTGGTAGGCCAGGTCTTGGGCACTTAGCTCATGATCTCTAAAAGCAACGCCATTGGAACCGTATTTGTGACCGCCAGCCTGAAATAACACCAAAAATAATAAATGTTTTTAGGATATGCAGGATCACAAATAATGTTTATTGTGTTAGTTTAGACAAGGGGGTTTTGTAAAAGTACTCCAAAAATGTTTGTACTAATCTATACAAATAAATAAAATAGAAGTGTCTGTTTGTGATATTAAAATTACAGCTTTTTACTAAATGCATATGAAAGTAAATACGGTTCTTTATAACTAAAATACAATTTTTTAAATTTTTGTCTGTCTGTTTGTTCCGGCTAATCTCCGAAACGGCTGGACCGATTTTGACGGGAATTTCACTAGGATGGCTGATGTTATAAGGAGTAACTTAGGCTACTTTAGAAAAAGGCTATTTTAGAAAAAGGATTAGGGTTCCGAGGAAAAACATAAAAACCCTAACACGCGAGCGATGTCGCGGGGAACAGCTAGTATAAAATAATAATCTGTAATGAGTTCGTCTGAGCTGGGACAACTATATTACTCTATTATAATGTATTACAAATAAAACAAAATTGAATTGTCTGTTTGTAATATCAAAATAACAGGTTTTAACTAGATGAATATGAAAGTATATACAATACTAATAACAAAAACACAATTTTTTTAATTTTTGTCTGTCGCTGTATGTTTGTTTCTTTCGGCAAATCTCCAAAATGGCTGGACTGATTTTGACGGGACTTTTACTGACAGATAGCTGGTGTCACAAGGAGTGACTTAAGCTAGAAAAGCTTTTGCTTTAGAAAAAGAATTAGGGTTGTGCGTAAAAAATTAAAACGTAATAAATGCCACGAGAGTCTATGGGCCATAGCAACCACTTACCATCAGCTGGACTGTGTGCTCGTTTGTCACCCTTATTCTATAAAAAAAAATTCTTAAATCTATGATGATCGTAAACACTTCACTCACAGGATATGTTTCGTATTGATTATAGTGTGCAGGAGAATAGCTTTCTCTGTATGGTCCATGATTGATGCCAATTCCAGCTGGAGAGTATTGGGGACCGCTGTAGTGGTGCGATGAGAATGGCGACGTAAGGTTGGGCTTGCAGAACTTGAAGTAACCGATAACACCTGTTAAATATGGGAAATTGATTTTTACAATGTTTCTGTCACAATATTTCGTTAAATTATGTGATTTCTCAAATAAATAACTGATTAGTATGGTCAAATTTTTAGTTTTGTAAATAATGTCAAATCTATCTTTTTTGGTAAATTGGACCTAGAGATAGACCTGCTTCGTGTTCGCGGACTTTACATAGTTGAATATTTTTTTATAATTTCAGTCCAGTTTATTTTTGTTTTCTTTTAACGCAGATTACGTGGTAGTATTACCATTTCAATTTAACAATTCTAGTGGAGCTGATGGGAGTCTAGCTTAAGCCGGATGATCCCTTATTCCCTTAGTTACCACGGTTCACCAATTTTGTATTGAACTATAGACATACAGCACGTACCAGGAATAATGAGAGCCATAAAACCAAGGACCTTCTTGAAGCTTGCAAGACCAAGAATGAGGGGCAGGAAAAGAAGCAGTTTCAACTTGAACAGCTTGAGGATCAACAGCATAGGAATAATGAGTTTCTTGAGCTTATGGCGACCTGTAATTAAATAGTCGGTATATTATAATCTAAACAGAAATAGTCGCAATTTTACATGAATATTATTTTATAGATAATTTCTAAGTACAAAATAATTAATTTAGCTTCGTAGACACAGCCACCGAAAGATTAAAATATATGCTGTAGTTAAGAAATAATTTACATAAAGAACACACCGGACAAAACTTACGGAAGGGAGAAGCTTTTTTATCTTCTATTATGTCTACTTCATCTGCGATTTGATCCAAGAATCGTGGTGCAATCACACCGTTGGATGTGACTTCGTCATCTAAATGCATCTCTAATGCTGTGGATCTCAAAAATCTGAAATATAAATCATTAATTAACGTAGGTTTGTTTTCAAGAAAATAGTTAATCTGATATATAAAATTAATGTTTATTTGTTCGTATTTTATGCACTGCCATACCGTTCATCAGATTGCGCTAAAACTTTGTCAAAAAATTTTTTGACGTTGACGTTGAATATTGCACGTGTGCGAAGGTTATAGGCATAGTACAATTTACAGTAGATGGCGCATGTATCGTACCGACAAATTTATTTAAAAGTTATATGTCATTATCATTATCATTAATAAATCAAAAATATAACTCTTCCAAATTTGAAATTATATTTTCACAATTATTTCTTCCTCGACAGCAACGCGCCGGGTACCAGCTAGTATTATATAACATATTTAATCATTCTTTTTTTTTCACATTTAGTTCGTCTGTATTACGCAAGACTGCAAAGCCATTTAAAACCGTATTAAATAGTTAGTTATAATTTCTTTATGAATCAAATTTGTGCTATATATTAATAAAAATAATTTTATTAGAATTAGAATTAAAATCTATTTTGTAATAACATGTTTATCAAATCAGCACTAAGCCGCAGTTTCACGTTCTATTATTTTTCTAAAGTATTATATTTTTCCTCAATCATCCAATTTTGTCCATCCACGATGTTGGAATATAAATTTTTCTTACGACACATAGCTTCTGTTTATACTCTATTTTCTTATCAGTAATAAAACATAGCCTTTTTTGAATAACGGGTAATTTTATGACTGTCATAGTTTGGCACCGTATAGCTGAAACACTGCCGATAACAAAAAAGTAAATTCAATTATATATTGTACATAGGATTATTATACGGCCTTGCTTTGTATTAATATTATTTATTCTTATGGATTTGTTATTCTTTAATTATTAATTAAATTTAAAAAGAAGAAAAATAGTTATCATATATTTTATACATTTACGTAAATTATCAGAAACTATCACGTGCTTGGGATTGGTCAATGAGGACTAATACTCTTCCACTCACCAGATGTCGCTAGTTGTGACTGAGGTAATATTTTGTTACACAATGTCAGTTAATTGAGAAATTATTTTTAAATAATAGTTTATCATTATCTAGAGTATTATATTAATATACAACACTATGCGTCAGTGGTTTGATTTTTAATTTTTTGCACATTATAACTCGTTTTTTAATTTTTCTACTTTTAGTTATATTTATATATAGTTTGGATTATTCATTTTTAATCTAATTAATATAAATATAACTAATTATACGGAAAGAAACCTTAAAGTTTGTATTTTCCTAACCCACTGTAAAGTGGCACCGCCCTGGTGACAAAAAAAATCGTGGATGCCATCATTAGTGGAAATAACTTTATCTGTTGTAATTGTGACTAAATGTTACATTCGCAAGCTTTATGGCTTTGATACAAATTACTATTTGGATCTGAAATCTTTTAATGTATTTAATTTTTTTGTCTCTAATGTATTTCGTTTCTATAACCCCTTCCAGTCATTTTTATGCTGAGACCGAACATATTTGTGTAATTGATATATGCAATCACAAAGAACTTGAATCATTAGCACATTATTGTAAGAACTATTGGATGGAGGTTCAACTTCCATAAACCCAAACGTAGTGTTAAATATCCATATTGATTACGCCGTAGTTTTTTAGGTTACTTATATATTTTTCCTTGGACTTACCTTTCAATTTTTCTCATTCCAAATTTAACAAGCGCATCCCAATCGGAGTCCTCGCTACGTGGTTGGGAACTCAATTCTGGAGGTTCATGGGCAAGCGCTCTTGCTTGTGACTCAACCTTCACTAACATAGCATTATCCGAGAGCCTATGACATTAAAAATGTTTCAATTATTAAAAGTATTTTATATAATAATTTATGGATATTATTTGTTTCGACTTCTTTCATCCAAAATCTAACCACACCTGAATGTGCCTGTTTGTTGACATAAAAGGTTCTAGCGTTCAACCGAAGGCTGATGATGAGGAACGGTATTATCAGTTCATGGAAGTCAGCTTTAAATGTATTTAGCTAGAAAACAGCTGAGTAAGAACCATTCCTCTAAAAATGTTGTGTAGTTGGCGTATGTTTGGAAAGGCCCGGCTCTGCAGTGGTCTTAATGAGGCTTTGATACGAAAATGCCATATGATGATGATGTGGTGGTGGCATTTGAAATTCTATTACCTCCACCTAACACATTTTTTTAGTAAATAAACAAATAGTGGTAAAATATCGTCTAATTATTTATATGATTGTGGTGGAAATTAGCGATGAAGATATTAAATGCCTTGCACATTAGCATATCAATGAGCAGATTTTAAGCCATTTCAATTGAATTGAAATATAACTTGATGAAGTGATATTTTCAGTTGCGTCTAGCAAAATATGCGTCATTTGGTATGTATATTTTTGAAAAGGAAAATTAATGAAGAATTAGTTTAATAATTTCTTATATTTACGCGAACACCACACATTGAATAAAATTATGTTTACGGATTTTAACGCGTTTAATTTACTTATTTTAATTCCTGACGTTTCGGGTGCTTTACAGCAACCACGGGGCACGGGGGTCACGGGGGGGGGGGGACTGAGATGTTTGACGTCCCGATGAAATAAACATAGTTTTATTCAAATAACTAGTTTGATAATTTAGTGTGAATTGCTCAGTATAACATTAGTAATATAGATTAAACTTAAAATTAATAGCAATTAATGGGTATAGAATTAATGCATATAAACAATTAACAGTTCACTTACTTGTAAGCCTGTTTGTCGAAGAAATCATCGAAGGATCTTAAGGCCTGGGCTTTAAAGCAATCAGCTAGATCTCCATTGATACATTGTTGTGTCGCTTGTTGGATGTACGGATCTTGATCCTCGCCAAGACCTATCCAGTCTAGTAGACCGCGACCGGAGGCTTGTGGCTGTAAATTTTATATTTATACAAAATTATTACATTAAAGTTACTGTCTAAATACGCCCCATTGCTGGACACAGGCCTCCTCAAACATTATCCCGTGTAGAAAGGAAGGGCAAATGTATCATCATCATCATCATTACAGTCCTTCGCAAGTCCACTGCTGAACATTGGCCTTCCACAAGGAATGCCACAAAGCACGGTCCCGAACCACCTGCATCCATCGACTTCCTGTATGCCTTACCAGATCGTCACTCCATCTAGTGGGGATCGCCCTACACTTCGCATACCGGTACGAGGCTAGCACTCGAGAACCTTTATTCCCCAACGGTTGTCGGTTCTTCGAGCTATATGGCCGGCCCATTGCCACTTCAGCTTACTAATCCGTTAGGCTATGTCGGTTATTTTGGTTCTACTGCGCATATTCTCATTTATAAATTTATCATGCATAGAATCCCCGACCAGACGACAACTGTTCAGCGATGTCTCAAAATTGGTGTGGGGGATTTCCGTTAAAGTTATTGCGTCTATAATAGATACAATCGCGCCTCATTTAGCTATTATTTTTAATACTAGTATTGAATCTGGTGTGCTTCCTGATTTAATGAAGTATAGTAAAGTAAAACCTTTATTTAAATCTGGTAGTACATTTGACCTCGCCAATTTAAGACCTATTTCTGTACTACCAGCACTTAGTAAGATTTTTGAAAAAATTATTATTGATCAAATGTTAAATTCCTTTAGTATAAATAATTTACTTTATAAAAATCAATTTGGTTTCACATGGGGTCGCTCGACAACTGATGCCGGTGTTGAGCTGATTAAATATATCTTTAATGCTTTGGGTATATTTTGTGAGCTATCCAAAGCCTTCGATTGTGTTCACCATGAAACATTAATCAGGAAATTTCAACACTACGGTGTAAGAAGTGATGCTCTTAAGTTAATTATTTCATATTTAAGTAAGAGAACGCAAAAAGTTATCATTAACAGTATGAGTTCTTCCGGGTCGATGGTACAAATGGGCGTGCCTCAAGGCTCAATTTTCGGCCTCTTTCTGTTTCTGGTATACTTTAATGACTTACCTAACATAGTAGGAGATAACCATGACATAGTATTATTTGCAGATTGCACTTCTTTAATTTTCAAATTAAGTCGACAATTGCTAAAATATGACGAAGTAAATAATGCTAAAAATCTAAATTAGTAAATTGGTTCAATGTTAATAATTTGCATTTAAATGGCACTAAAACGAAATGCATGAAATTCATGACTCCAAATGTCAAACAATTAAATACTAATGTAATTTTAAATGGGAAGAAACTGAGTCTTGTAGATACCATCATTTTTCTTGGAATCACACTAGACGCGAAGCGTCAATGGAGCCCCCATATATCAAAACTAGCAAGCAGACTTAGTTCTGCAGCATATGCCGTAAAAAGATTAGAAGTCTAACTAGTGTTGAAACAGCTAGACTAGTTTACTTTAGCTATTTCCATAGCATAATGTCGTATGGTATTTTGCTATGGGGTCACGCAGCTGATACTGAAATTATATTTGTTTTACAGAAGACGGCCATAAGAGCAATTTATGATTTAAAGTCTAAAGAGTCACTGCGATAAAAAATTAAGGAAATTAATATATACTTTGGCCTCTCAATACATTTATGAAAATGTAATGTACGTACACAAAAATTAAATTAGTTTTACAAATATAAGTGATATTCATTCTGTAAATACTATGAACAGACACAATCTAGTAGTACCAGTTACTCGATTCCATCGAGTCAGTAATTCATTCTTGGGGAATTTTGTTGTATACGCTTATACAACCAAATTCCGGAAAATATACAAAATTCGACCTGCTCAAAGTTCAAAAACTTTATTAAACTAAGTTTATATAAATGGTTATTATAATATTAAGGAATTTATAGATGATAATAACCCCTGAAAATGGGGCGATCGCTACCAAGCTATTTCTAATTTATTGTAATGTTAATTTGTGTAACATACATGATTGTAAGCTGTTATTTAAAAAAAAGTCCCGCTGGGTTTTTGCTGGTTCTTCCCAGGACAGAGTTTTTTTTTCGAACCAGTGGTAATTATACAAAAGAGTGACTTTCTATAAGTATTATTTATAATCTATATTTAGTAAAAAAGTTTCTGTTTCTGTTTAACCGAATGGTTTATAATGGTTAATGATGATCGAGCGGAAACAAGGCTCCAAAGTCTTTGCCAGAGATCTGTCTGCCAGAAAGAACGTACTGTCAAAGCTGAAGACCGAGTGTGACAGCATCGTTTCCGGGATACCTGAGATTTTGAGTAAAATTGAGAGGTTCTATGGGCAGCTGTACATGTCATCGTTGGAGCCAAATGCAAGTGTGAGTAACAATCCAAGAACAAGTCTTATACGACACTATTCCGATGATATCCCGGACGTCAGTCTGAGCGAGACTAGAATGGCTCTCCAGTACCTTAAAAATGGCAAGTCCCCGGGCGAGGATGGAATTACAGCGGAGCTTATAAAAGCAGGTGGAAAACTGGTACTTGAAGTCCTTCAGAAGCTCTTTAGTTCCGTCCAACATGGTGGCACTACTCCGGAGGCGTGGAGTGTCTAGTTCTTCAAGAAAGGCGACAATACTTTCTTGAAGAACAACAGACCGATTTTCCTCATGAACCGTGTCTACGTACTGTTTTCGAGAGTCATTACAAATTATCTCGCACGCAGACTCGACAACTTCCAGCCTCTCGAACAAGCTAGTTTCCGAAGAGGCTTTAGTACCATTTGCAACATACACACCACTTTGCCTTGCCTATATGGACTACGAGAAAGCATTTGATTCCGTCGAAATTTGGATGGTGCTGCAGTCTCTTTAGCAGTACCAAGTTGATTGTCGGTATATCGAAGTGCTGAAGTGCTTGTACAGTAGGGCTATGATGGCTATCCGAGTACAGAATCAGAGTACCAAACCTATCCAATTGCAGAGAGGTGTAAGGCAGGGTGATATTTTATCCCCAAAACTCTTCACCGCTGCATTGGAAGACGTTTTCAAGCTACTGGAATGGAAGGATACGGTATTAACATCAGTGGTGAGTACATCACCCACCTTCTCTTCTCTGATATTGTCCTTACGGCAGAAGCGCTGGAAGACGGCACTATGCTCAATGACAATAGTGTCTCCCAACGGATAGGTATTAAGATGAACATGGACAAAACAAAAGTTATGTTTAATGTCCATGGTACATCTATGCCAGTAGTTGCTGGAAGCACTAAGCTCGAAGTCGTTGACGAGTATGTTTACCTGGGGCAAATAATCCGACTAGGTAAATTCAACTTCGACCGAGAGGTCACTCGACGGATTCAACTCGGCTGGGCAGTGTTCGAGAAATTACGATCTTCTCGTCAGGTATACCTCAACACCTGAAAACTAGATTTTACAATCAGTTTGTGTTGCCACTGATGACTTATGGATCTGAGACGTGGTCCCTTACTGCTGGCCGTATGAGGACGCTCATGGTCGCTCAGCGAGCTATGAAGAGGGCAAATATATGAATGCTATTAAATAATTATTTCTTGTGATTGAAATTAACGAAGATCTCATGGCCTACGTTAGCTAGTGGTATAATCTTCCATACGGTCATATTGTTAACATATAACATAATAATGTTAAATGTTAACAGGCAGACAACATTATTATGTTATATGTTAACACTTAAGTCAGCGGAGAAGGACCTCTAAAGATCTGAAAAATCAATCACTCTAATTGTTGATCGCCACGACGCTAAATCGTGTCTACTATAGAAGAGTGTGTATTTCTTTTCAGTAGTAGAATGTTAGAAAAAGGAAATGGTGCATAATAAAATGTCTTTGTAATATTTAGAGCCGTTTTCGAGAAACCACATAATAATATTGCCATATCATAAGAATTCCGTAAAATATTTCTTCTTACGATTTCATTTTGCTCTAAGAATTGGTTGTCAAGTCGGAATAACAGGAAAACTTTTAGTAAAAGTAGAAAAACCGTATTCACAAATACTTGACTTGAATCCAACGTCGAGGCGAGCGATATAAATTGTGCTAGATCCGTCTTTATTTATTTTCTGTGTATTGCAAAGAATTGCAAAATCGTTGTGTTACGAAAAATGTATTCTCCATTTCATTTTTAGTAGTTATGTCATGTAACCTATATACAGTAAAGTTTTATCCGTATTAAATGCCATAAGTTGATTTAGAAGAAAATATGTATTGGTCCTCGCATTCGTCGCATCACAAGCGAAACACATCGATTTAGGATTCGATGTGTTTCGCTTGTGATGAGACGACAGCGCCGCCACATCACACCCCTGCTCAGACCGGAGGTCGATAATACAGTCTAGATGTCGACGAATTTGCAAGTGCCAGTGAATCACCTTGTAAGTCTGCGGTGAGTCGAGAAGAAGGCAAGTAATCTGCGAGAGTGCCGTGAAGCAGAGGCGAGCAGTAAGGCTCAGAGCCGTGCCGAACACTGTAGCACAGAGAGTAGCTTAAAGGAACAGGAAGCATTATTATTCCAGTGCTGCGATGAACCTTTGTAAAGCTAGATGGCTTGTAGAATGTGAAGACTGCAGACAATATCTGCTCGGGAGCGAAAGAATGGGGTACTTGAGGATGATGACGAAGGTTTTTGAAGTTGTAGTTTCCGAAGGTTGTTGGTTGCGTGTTCATATCACGTCGGGGTCACCATTGCGGCGGGTGGAAGGAAAATGGGAGATCTCCCGCCGGGCAAGGTGTTCTGCCCGGGGAGCGGCCAACGCTCCAATTGGTAGTTCGAAGCTATTCTATATATATTGCTTTAACTTCGGAACTTTGCTAGCGTGATTTAGGATTCGATGTGTTTCGCTTGTGGCGCGACGATAGCGCCGCCACCGACCCATTCAAACACACACAAAAATTTCATCAAAATCGGTCGAGCCGTTTTTGAGTTTTACCGAGACTAACGGACAGCGATTGATTTTTATACATGGAGATAATTTACGATTTGTGAACCTTTATCGGAGTTTGTTTAAATGATGTTGATTCTTGTGATAATGAAATGCGTTTCGTATAAAAAGTTTTGAGAAAAGCTACTTACCGATCGTCCATTGTCATCCCCAAAATTTAAAGATCTTCCTTCAGTTTCTTCTCTGGGTGGTTGGTCTGGTAGCCGTATACCACCATCTCCTCGCGACTGCAGCGCTAGCGCAGCTATAATCAGCATAAGCCATCGAGCTTGATGCAGCATTTTTTATTTTAGTCTGTCCTGAAACAAATGATTTGATAATAAGTATCCAATAATTAATATAGACGTTGTTTGTCTTTAAAATTTCCAGTTTGACAAAGGTAATTCGAATAGACTCATTTTTTAACTTTTAAACGTTACAGGTGAACAAAAGGATATCAGCAGTGGTTCATTTTTAAGCTTACGTGGTCTTGTGTTGACAAACACAGGGGTTTTATATTTAAGCAACATATAATACATCTAAGTCTAATTTTTGTTATATTTTTCATGTACAAATAATGGCTGCAATGATCCTAAACCAAAGGTTCTCTCGGGATAGAAAATTGATTAGGAATTAATTAAGAATAGAAATGAAACGTTTTTAGGGTCTTCTAAATTTTAAAACACTTTTGTAAACTAGAAACATAAGTTATATAAATTTAAACTGAATGATAAAAGTAACGTAGGCGAATGTCCGAAAAAGAAAATGAAATATGTAAACAATGTTTAAGTAATACAAGAAATGAAGAATGGCTAAAAATACATTTTAATAAGTAAATTGCTTTTGTCGAAACACCTACTCCGATTTTATTTTGATTATGGTAATAACATTAATACGTTTTGTTTTACAAAATGATACAATATTTATTAAGTAGTTGTGACCTGATAAATTACACTTATGAAATTTCCCTTCATTCTTACTCTTGAACTACTATTGAAAATTGTTCTTTTTATATAATTTGTTTTACTTTCCTGTGTGATTCAATAGCGTGCGAACACTTTTTAACTACGTCATCATCATTATTTTCTTTATTGCAATACATTAAGGTTGGCAATTGTTTGTATACTTTGAATATGTTTTCATCTATTATTGTTAAGTGTAGAAAGTGCTATACGCATAGGAGAAGTCACGTGATGATGCGTCAGTTGAAAAATATTTAATTTTATTTAAAAAATCACTTTTTAAATTGACTTTACAAGAAAATAACTTAAAACGGAATTAAAGCATTTTGTTATTTCCGAACGATTACAAGCTTAATATCCTCCCAATCATTTGCACATAATAAAGAACAGTTTTGAATAGGAAAAAACTATATTATAACTATACTATACTATAATCTGTATCAACTTTAAGAACTATAAAGTACGGTTAGTAAAGTCATACGTGCGAGCGAGACGCACGAATCGCGGTTGTGTACTGGTGCGTACGCGTCGACGTAATGGCGTTTGGTAACGGTCATCGACAGTTTTGGCGCATGTTGGTAACAAAAAGAAGGTTCTCTTGAATACTAAAATTTTCCTTCCCTCAATTCTATTGTGGAAGATATTATACCATTAAGCTTAGTTCATTGTTTTCTAATATTATTAACTAAGCGACTTCGTTCGCGTTGCTTGATACATTAAAAGAGTTTTTGATATATTATGTTTTATTGTTGTTTATTTGTATATCAAAATTTGTTATTCAACGATGAAACATTAAAATTGGGGGGCAATTGATCAAGGCACAACTGAACAGCATCAGGTCGCTCGCGCAAGTAATGCGTGGCTGGCCCTAACTTTATCATGAGGCAGAGGTGGAAGAGACTTCCCCTCTCCTACGCATGGGCGCTACACCGTGTGCCCCACTTATCCGCAGCAAGAAAACACACATCACTGAACACGTAGTGGTTATAAAAATTGTTGTTTCTTAAAACTCTAATAACTTTATATTAAACTAGCTGACCCGGTGAACTTCGTACCGCCTAACAATCGATTCTTTTAAATTTTTTTAAGACTTATTCTACTATTCGGGACACCGTCGGCCAGCCAGTAAAAAAAAAGAAAAAAGAAAGTTGATAAGTCAACAATTACATTATGTCAAAAAATAAAAATTATAAAACACTATTGACAAATATTGGCATTAATATTTATACGATACTAACGTCACTCAATTGTTTTGCCTTCCCCTCCACTAACACTTAAACTTTATGGTATGGTATTAAAGTTCAAATGGACTTTTAAGTATTATTACGAATCTTTTGTATGGGAATATAGAAAAGAGTTGTTTTTAGACTTATTCAGCCAATTTTTAAATTTTTCTCCCCGTAAAAACCATCTTCGTACTTCACAGACTATTATAAAAAAGAATTAACGAAATCGGTTCAACTGCTTTCGAGATTTGCGCTTAGCAACACATTCAGCGATTCATTTTTATATTATAGAAGATGAAGATATCGCAATATTTATTTTCGATAAGGGACCAAGTGTCTAAGGAATAAAACGTAGAAAACCAAATTGAAATCTATCCAGTAGTTTTCCTTAATTATTATATTGCTTTTTGTATATGTAAATGAAATAAATAATAATAATGTAATAAATTATAATAATAAAATAAATAATATTATGTAAATGAAATAAATAGGTACCATGAAATACCATTCATTCATTTTTTTTAAAAAACATTACCTCCACACTAGGATGTTCTCCTGTATCGTGGGGGCAGTTTACATACATAAATTTCACAAAGACGAACATCCAGGCCCGGAATAATTATTTGTAGGCCATACAAATACTCGTTCCGTGCGGGGTTCGACCCCGCGGCCCCCAGCGCCGCAGCTCATTGCTAAGTCACTGAACCGCGGAGCTGTCAATCAAATCCAACACTAAAGTTCTAGGAAATCGTCTTTATTATATCACTCGGTAAGACAGGCTTAGAGAAATCGTTTCCTTATTTGAATAGCTTTTCCCTTTCTATAATTAAAATAGTTCTATGATGTTTTCAATATTAACGTAGTGTTAATTTAAGATATAAAATATATTGGTTTTCTAAATAGATTTGTATGTATATTGTGTATATAATAATTTGGTATTTGGCTTTGTATTAAAAAAAAATTGGGGTACTACTATGAAAATCATATGGCTCCTCTTCACGATGGTCAATAAACAGAGTTATTTTGCAATAACCGGCCAAATTTGCAGAGAAGATTCAGAATAAGTAATATAAGCAAATGGTGAAGAAAAAATAATGGAAAAAATCACAAACATTCTGCCCTTTTTATCTTTTAAATTCAAAATGTGTGGTAATGCATTATTTTAACTGATTGTCATTAATAAATATCTAACGCCTACTATTTTACTACGCACGCACACCTTCGTAAGGGTCGATCGGTAGGCAAAACGTTGTTGCCCATAAATCACGTTTAATTTGGGATAATTTCAAATAAAAATAGAAGCTTTATCCTTCCAGTACCTACTCGTATTTTCAAAAACTGCAATAACGGTATATCATTATTTATATATTTGAACTTAAGTTTAAAAAAGGGCTACTCTTTGAAAAATAACCATGTATATATATGCCAATTGTTGTTGCCGATTGGTGTCAGGTTGCCTTTACTGCCGACTGAATGAAAAAGCTTAAAGTGCTCGCTATCTCAAGGAGCTATGAACAGGGTTATACCCGAAATTTCTATGCGTGATATCTTTTTCATCTTTTATCTTTTTTTCTTCAAAAAATATACTTCGTAATGAAGATATTCGTAGTAGAATTTGAAAAGAAAAAACTGATGTAGCCCATTGGATCAGTAAACTGAAGTGCCAATCGCTAGACCTATCTATATGAAGAACCGACAACCGAAGGGGAAAAAAGGTTTTGAAGTGACAGCCTATTGTTGGTAAGCAAACTTAGGGCTTGACTTGAGCCACCTCCACTCATCGATGCAAACATCGTGCATCGATGAGTGGAGGTGGCTCAAGACCGTAATTTGTGCCATTGTTCTGGAGGTCTTTGTTCACCAGTGGATTTGTGGAAAGCTGTAATGTTATTGATTGTGATGATAATGACAGTTGGTAAATCGAGGTGCTGAAGTGTTTGTATTGTAAGGCTTGTATAACACAAATCATATTATAATCTAATATATAAAAATAAATGTATGTTTGTTCGTATTTTATGCGCTGCCATACCGTTCATCAGATTGCGGTAAATCTTCATCAACTTATTGTTTGCACTTGTGTGAAGGTTATAGGCAAAGTAAACTTTTTAACCTTTTTTACTGGAAAAGAGGCATTCTATCTAAGTCCTCACGGCTGACAACGCATCTGCATTTTAATTCGCAAACGAAGATAGATGTAGATGTCTATGAGCCACAGCAACCATTTATTATCAGATGGACTGTGTGCTCGTTTGTCACCCTTATTCTATAAAAATACTTATAGTAGGTGGTGCGCGTATCGTACCGACAAATTTATTTGAAAGTTCTATATCATTCAATTTAAATGATTGTATTATCATCCCCAATCCAAATTTGAAATTATATTTCTACAATTATTTCTTCTGTGACAGCAATGACACTTTTTACATTTTGTGCAACAAAAGTGAAAATCCATAAATCAAATACGTAATAAAATTTTATCGAAACAAATTCAGAGCAAGATGTAAGGCAGACAATTGTGCTATCTAAACTACAAATCAGTTTGTGATATATAATCGAAGTAAAAGGTTGTTGCGAAGCGTGTTTTTGGGCGTAAAATATTTCTTTATCCCTAATCCTGTTTGCTCGTGTAATTTTAACGATAAGAATTTCCCTTATTGAGTCATATTTATATACGCCTTCTTTCAACTACGATTTAATAAACTTTTTTAAGTATTAAACTTGAGTATATGCCTCCGTTATCTATACAAATAAATAAAATTGAAGTGTCTGCATGTAATGTCAAAATAACAGCTTTTTACTAAAGGCGTATGAAAGTAAATACGGTACTTATAACAAAAATACAATTTTTATAATTTTTGTCTCTCTGCCTGTTTGTCTGTTTGTTCCGGCTAATCTCTGAAACGGCTGGATCGATTTTGACGTGACTTTCACCGGCAGATAGCTAATATTATAAGGAATAACTTAGACTAATTTTATATTATAAAAATATTTAGGGTACCGCGCAAAAAAAATAAAAGCAAAGTATACGCGAGCGAAGTCGCGAGGTATAGGTTATAAAATAAATTACTAATGCCCAAATACTCAAACGCTACGCAATTATAAGATGTCGCTAAG